AACGATATGGCAAAGTGCATATATTCACCACACTTAACAGTTGGTACAACTGTGCAAACAATAGTTGTTCAAGTTTCCTCCTTGATCCATATGGATTTCTTCAGATGTTTTAAATCGTGCTTTCTCAGCTCAGCTAACTTATCAGTATCAGAGTGCAGTAAACTATCAGCTAATGGTCAAGTTTTGGTCCACTTCGTAAAGTGAAGATATTGATTATGTTATTAGTTCTTAGGCAAAGATAATCAATATTATTCTCTGCAATGGAGAGTCTACAACTCTGTTGGGATATTCTCTGGCTTGACCAATTTTCCTTTGAGTAGCATAAAGTGTATTTTCTACTTCAGAGATCTTGGAACCACTAGTTACTTCACATATTGGATGACACGTGGAACAGCACATCATCTTGCATCTTCAACTATTTCAGGGGTTTCATTCATCCATGAGACATTTTCAATCAGAGATGTTGCCTTATAACAAACAATGCCCAAGCTAAGTCTATATCGTTTACTTTCTTTTCCTGAAGCTGCTTATTTGTAGTACAGGAAGTCTGTGCATTGACGCAGTTATTATTTCCTACATGGTTCATCATTATTACTGTTGCAACGGCTTTTGCAGATTTGAAATGTCCAGCATTTGAAAATTCAATAAATGAATAAGTTATCCATCTGGATCATCATGCTGCTTCTCGAAAGTTTACTTCTGCAACATTGTAATTCAAAATGAAATCATTCCTAACATGTAGTTGTGGGCAGTGTTTGAAAAAGCTCCAACTGTAAGCAGCAGTTTCCTTGTTGTGCAGTATTGGTATTCAGGATTAAACAATGTATAACTTTAACATATGCAATTGCACATTTCACACCTTGCTGCAACTGTGGCAACATCACTATGATACTACCATCACTGACATTTGTATCCACATATATATATATGAAAGGATGAGTTATTGAAATACTTGTTCACAGCCCCAGTCCCTTTAAAATGCATAACGGCTTTAGCAAAAAACAACAACACAATATTGTAGATATAAAATATTGATAGTATTATGCGAAGCATAGAAAACGGGATACTTTCTTTTCAATCAAGTCTGGACAATCTTTAACTGATGAAATATTTGCTGGGTCAGTAGACACTCCAACCCTGTCTACAATGTGACGAATAATTATATTTACATACGTATAAACATATATTTTCCCATATTCAGACCTGCTTTTCTTATCCATAAAACACCATAATCAGGCTCTCAACAACAGATTGAAGCACGCAGCTAATCACCATTATATCAGTCACTATATGAGACAACTATCTCATAAGCTGCTTGATAGTGATTGGCAAACTATACATGTTGAATGCCATGACATGATATTTATACAGTCCATTTTGAGTGCTCAAGACAGTCTTAGGTCTGCTCACATCATCCACTTCTACATAGACTGCTGCCAGGTCTGGCTGTAGAACTACTTTACAACACATCTAGTCATTTGTCGGAACACGGCAAGTAAAATGTATTAACCCACATTTTCCTGTTCATCGACTTAAATTCAACACAGGACCTTGCCATCCCTTCTCAATTATTGCTGGAGGCAACAAAGTAATCTCTGATAACCGTATCATACATACTATCAACACTTATTCAAACTTAGTGCTAGAAACAAATAACTCTGCATAAATCATTGATTTATTAAACATATTTCATTTGTATCTATGAAATGATGAGTTAAATTTATCATGCCTAGACAGCCATCTGGTCCGGCAAACACATCATCAATCTCTGACGTTAGCTCACTGACTTACTGTCACTAGTCTGCGTTCTTTTAGATGTGGTGTGTCTGAAGTAACACTAGCTACTCAACTGTATTTAGTTACTTCTGCTTCACTCACTGTACCAACAGTTCCACTAGTTAGAAGCTGAATAATTATACACCATAATATGTGTAGGTAGATAACTGTTACTGTCAGCTTATCATGGCTCTTGGACAACAAACAATGTAATTCATGCACACATTTTATCAACATAGTAGATGGTAGCAAGCCACCAGAATACATTTATAGCATCCTATGAAATACACCTTGTACATTCAGAGGCGTTTTGAGCTCTTTGCCTTAAGTGTATTCGTGCAATCTGTTGCTTCTGGATCCTGTTTTCTTATTACCAAATCGTGTATTTGCAGGACTAAGATCATCTGTATCACAAGCCATGTTGATTTTTGCATCAGGCCAATCCCTAACATGCCACTGCTTGAGCGAAGCTCAGAGACAATGACCATTATTCCACTAGAGACAGCATCAATTCCGAGAAAGTATCATGCTTCTCCACTTACCTCAAGTGTTTACTGGTTGGAAAGGTAGCTTGAAACACCTTAAGGACAAGCATAGTTCTGACAGCGTCTATCAGGACCTCAACTTCACATTCACATATTATCTTTACTGGAACACACCAGACCATAACCAGTCTTGAATTATTCAAGTGACTGTTACACTTTTTAATACAAGCAAACATTGCATCTGCCCAGATTGGAGGACAAGCCCAAGTCTGGTTTCACTAGATTAAAATAGCTGGTGAAAGGTAAACAATGTCTATGCTTGACTCTCACAACTGGTCTGACACTCGGCTGGAATGAGACTTGCTGTGTGTCGTGTGTTATGTCAAAACATAGAGACTTCCAATTTCAATACCCAGTCAGTCTGTATGTGCAGATAAGCCCCACTCGGTCCAGGATAAATAGGGCTTATATTTAGAGCAAACAACTGTCATTATCTTCTCCTTCAAACTTGAGACAGAGTCAGGAGAAAAAGCTTGACCAAAAACTCCAGATGTTCCAAGGTGTAGCTTATCTCCTTGATCAGTAGACAGATTGTAAGCTCTTGTAAAGACTCTCTGAATCTGTGGTGAAAACTCCACATCCAGTAGAGAACGTCTTTAAGCCTGTTGCAGATTTTCTAATTGAGCCACATTCAGCTTCCATCTCTCCTCTCTGCCATAATTCCTTTATCATCATGAAAATAGTTTTTCCATGCCAACAAAGTTTAAACTTAGTATTTATGAGAGTAAAACAGTGCACAGAGAAGAACATCGCATTTAAACTCGACAATAAGAAATTCTAGCCATAGCATAAAAATCATTCTTAATGATCCAGTCTGCAGTATTTTCAAGTAAATCGGACCCAACAGGTATGTTACTAAAACCAAAAAACATGAGGCTCAAAGATATGAAGTGCAAAGCAAAAATAAGCACGACTCGACCTCAAAATAACAGAAACTGAACTAGTTGTTTCACAATGGAACAACAATATATTAAACAAGTAAAACCTATACGTAATTTCGATGGCAAAGAATACTAAAACATACTTTTTCTTTTACTTGCAAGATCTGCTTTCTGTCATATGTATATCAGAAGATAATAGCAAGATGAGTTACACTCAACATAAAACAAAGAATTTCTATAAGAGAAGTAACATTTCTAGAGCTATTTTACAATTTACGTTTACTAGGACTACCTAGAATGCCACGTTATTAAGTAAGCCTTAGTATAACCACATATAAAAAACTCGATAATACCAGATAACTAATTGTCCACCAAATATAAAAACAGACAAACTTGCACCAAATCCAAGAAAATGCGTAGTGGCTCTTAAGACAAGATTAACGCAGCTCAAAGCTGGGCACATAAATGAAACTTGAAGATTTTACTTCAACTGTATGAAAGTTTTGAAAATGTTTAATAATAAAGATATTTTCACAATCTATGTTACTTACAGAATGGTTTATGATATCTGCATATTTGATACGGTTAGATATACATGACTTTTTAAGTTTAATGCAATTGTTATGACTTAGATGGTTTAAGTATAGTGCGAGTGTTAAATTTAGTTATTTTTAGAAGTTATAATTTATTGCAGGTTTGTTTACGTAACTGTTTTCAAATCATATGTTGTATGGTTCAATTGTTGTGAATTGGCGACTGTTGCATTATTGCGTCATGTTAATAGAACCCTGAGTTTTTGTCGTTGTGTTAATTGAGTATTATTGCATCATGATATCTATTAGTGTTTGGAACGTTTTAGGCCTCTGTTGGGGTATAAATACATGTTGAAAATGTAGTTCGAGAGATTGATCTCGACTGCGTGTTTATTAGGTTAGCCATAAAGAACATATAGTGGCGACTTTTAAAGTGAAATTCTCACAGATTTATATTGTAATAACAGAGTATAGAAGAAATAATTTGTCTTTTCAATTGGGTTCTAAAGTAACTAAACCAGCTTCTGTGAACTTTGACCAAAAAGAGATGATTATTGAAAGCTCTGGATACAACTGTGAAAGCCAACAGTGCAACGAACATTTGTATATACGTTTGACTTGGGTTCTGTCGTTTATTGTTGGAATTTATCGCTAACAAGTCACAGACACCTAATGTAAAGAATCCGGCTCGTACATACATAAAAACTGACAGATACATTCAGTACAACGTAGTGGAATCAGTAAATACTAAAATAGTACGAATAAATTATTTTTAGTAAAGTAGAACAAGTCCATAATTAATGTAGTTATGTTGAAAACAAAAATGAATTTAAATTTCACTTATCAGCGAGTGAGGTTGATAATTTTGATCCTTTTTCTATCTCGAATCAAAAAGGCATGTAAACGTTTTTAGTTTTGTGCTGTTACATCTCATCCTGAAAATTTTTTTAAAGTTGTTTTATTTATTAAAGTGCTCCTATGGAAGTATTTATGAGTTATTTCTAACGTCAATGCAATAAATTATGCATTATAAACGTTTAAGTAGCATATAAACCAAAAACAACATTGTAACCATAGGAATTTGACAGCAATATGAGAATTTTAGTTCTTAAAATGCAAATAATTATTAACATGTTTCTGCTATTTCAACGTAGTAGCTTAAACCGATATTAAATGCATACTCAAATGAAGATGTATATTAATATTATTCCTGTTGTACAAAAACACTTTTTTTGGGTAATAAATAAGCGTGGTTCAACTCTTACTTGTGGGGCTTTTTGGAGTCAATCACCTCTACCTCCTGTCCTTCCTTGAGAGGGATAGCTTCAGGATCACACTCAACTGGTGTATAATCCAACAAAGCAACGTACACATCCACAATCTGAATAAATAAAGAAAAATAACGGATGTGAGGAGGCATTAACTAAGGGTTATATTGGCTTTTAAACAATATGTGTTAATTAATAGATTTGTGATACATTTCTGTTTGAAATTTGTGATTGTACATATAATATCACATTTATATTCTTGTCAACGAAAGAAAAAACACCCCTGTTGCTAAAAACCTCAGTAAAGAAACTTATAAATGTTCTTAAACATGAAATCATAGGTAAATATATAATAAAATAAAATTTCAACCGGTTACATAAACAAGCTAGACCTTACTATATATTCTTACTGACGCGTACATGAAATTTAATAATGTGAATATAAAATGAACACTGTATCATAAGTGGCAATGACGCATGTTCAAGTAGGTAAGACAAAAGAGTTTTTGTATGAACAAGTTAGATAATTCTCAATCGTGTTAATTAGAACAAACAATGAGGTACGAGTTCGTGGCTTGGAAGTATTTTCAAGATAGAAATAAAAATAATTTAATAAAAGTTACAGCTTTTACAGTATGGAATGTTAGTTTTTAGAACAGGTACGACGTTTCGATCATTCTCAATTACATAAGTTTTACCTATAAAGAAAGTTTTAGTACTTAAAACAACATTCAACAATCTAACAGTGTATTTAAATTTTACAATTGATAGTGGTTACTTATGCACGTGCATATCAATCCGCGTGATTTGACAGATTAGATATTTAGAGCTGAATAGAAAAAACGAGCAAAAAGTGAATAAATATTAAAAAATGTGAAATAAGATTTTGAA